GGACCCATTTCTTTAAGGCCTCGCTTGCATTATGGCAAGCTCTGGGCCCAGGGTCGCGGCTGGGACGGCGCCGAAGGCGGTCTGCACGAGAGCCCCGGCAGAGGGGCCGTCCAGGAAGGGCCGCTGGTGACCAGGCCGCGGTCCGGGGCTGCCCTGGAGTGGCTACGCCCTCGTGGCGCTGGTCACTCATGGGAGGCGCGAGGAGCCGGAGGTGCCCTCGCCTCCTCCTCAGTAGAGGAACGATAACCTGCATAAACATACACTGTCGGAGTCCGCGCGGACTCCTTAGATCGGCGCTGGGCCCCCCTGGCAGCGCCTCTGGCGCCGCCCCTGGAGCCGCCCCTGGCGCGCTTCGCGCGAGGGGTTAGGGGTCCAGCGCCGATCCGAGAGACCCGCGCGGAGCTCCAGGAGTTTAGGTTTTGTGCACGACTCTCCTTCGCCCTGGGGGACCGGAGAGCAGCCAGGTCGGCGCTGGGCTCTGGGGGAATCGCCGGGATACCACCGGGGCCGCCCTCGAGCACTGACCTGACCAGCGCGCAGTGGAGCTGCCGCCGCAGGGCCACAGCGAAGCGGGTCCAGGAGTCGAGTACCCTGTTTTCCCATCGCGACTCCTGTCTCTTCCCTCCTGTAGAGCGCCAAGAGCGTCGTTGGCAGCGCAGGGTCTACACCCACCAGCCTTCTGGGCATAGGTGGTCAAACGAGTTCTTTCTCTTGCAAAACCCATCTTCCTTCGGGAAGGGGTACCCTCCCCCTCCCCTCCAATGGGTCTGGACGGGGGGGAAACGGAGGGGTTAGAGCGCCCAAGATGGCTCCAAGAGGGCCTCCGATGCTCCAACATGGTTCAAGATAGCCGAACGTGGCTCAAGATGGCTTCCAGCATGCTCCAAAGAGGCGCCCAATACCGCCCCAAGACGGCTGCAAGTGCTCTCGGAGCCCCCTCAGGACGCCCCCAAGAGGCCCCTATCTTTCAAACACCTAAGGACAATCTTGGCGGCGCGCAGAGGGGGGTAGGGGGAGGGGAGCAGGCTTCGTAGAAGGAGGCTGCCTCTTAGAAGGCGCGGGCCTTTCATCTACAGACAAGGCCCGCGCCTCCTGAGACGCAGGGTGCTTCTCGGAGGCCTCCCCCCCTCCACCTGCCCCCTCTGCGCGTGGCCAGAAATCATTGCCTCGTGTCTTCTCGCCGTTTCGCCTCCGACGCGCCGTTGAGGCCTCGAGGTTGCCCCCCCCACCACACACACACACACACACACACACACGTACGCCACGGCGGCCCGGAGGCCGGTCCAAGAATGAACTGCGCGAGGGCGCCTCGGCGCCGGCAGGCGGAAAACCTGGTCCTCGCCGTCCTGGTGCGATGGCCCGAAATGGCCCAAGAGAACCCCAAGATGGCCCAGAGAGCCCCAGGGGGGGCCCACGAGAGCCCCCGAGACGGCCCCCAGGAGCGCCCAAGAGCGCCCGGCGAGGCGAGCTTGATGGCCCCAGGGGGGGAAGGCAGATCGAGGACTACTCCTCTCGATCGTTTCCAGGATGGCCTCAAGAGGCCCTCCAGAGCTCCCAAGAAGGGCCCCAAGAGAGCCCAAAGACGGCCCCAAGAGCGCCCAAAGAGCGTCCCACGAGGGCCCCAAGAGGCGTGTTGCCTCCTCTCCCTCCTCTTCCTCCTCCCTTCGCCCCCCCGCGGGCCCCAGGGATAGCCCGAAGAGGCCCTCCAGGGCCACCCCCTTGCACCCAGAGATCTCTCTATTCATCTTGGTTGCCCGCTCTGTTTCACTACATATGTCTCTTCCTTCCTTTTCCCGTCAACTCTCATGGGCAGGGATTCTGAGCGGGCTGGTGGGGATACGTTTTTTGATCGAAAGCGCACCGGATGGCGCCAGGCGTCGTCAGAACGAAGCGTCAATGCAACGATCTAAATTAGCGCTCAGAAAGAGAAGGGAGAAACGAAAAGAGAAAGACGGCGGAAGAGACGAGCAGCGGGCAAATACTTTTCGTCGCAGCCGCAGGCGAAGGCGCGCAGCGGCGTCACAAGTCAGCTCGGGCTACGAGCAAAACTGATTGACCTAGCGCGCGCACAGGCGGCTGCGAACAGCGGGCAAATACGCGAAGCGTGACGAATTTGCTGTTGACGTCTGGTGCTGGCCAAGTGTGGCGCGTGCTGGCTGGCCCCAGAGCGGGCCTTCAAGACAGCGCATCGACAGGTTGAAGATGCGTCCGCCACCGCCGCCGCCTCCTCCTCCTCCTCCAGGAGGGGAGGGCTCGTCAGAAGTCTTCGGGCGTCCGCGGCATGTCTCCAGACGGCCGACGAGGAAGCCCCTGGCATGGGCCTCCACTGCACGTCGCAGTTTCCATTTGTTCGGGACTTCAGCCACTTCCCCCCGGGGCCACGGAACTCCATTCGTGACGGATTCTTTGGCCGGTCGGTCCCCAGAGACCGAAAGCTCTCCTCGAGCCTCTACCCTCGATACTAAAACCCTCGGCCCTCGACGCTCACACCCTCGACACTTCATCCTCGAAGCGAAGACACTCGAGCCCCCTCGACCCTCTATCCCCAATCCTCGACCCTCAAACCCTCGAGCCTCCGTCCTCGAACCGAAGATCCTCGAGCCCTCGACCCTCCACCCCCGAACCGAAGATCCCCGAGCCCTCGACCCTCGATCCCTCGAGCCCTCGAGCCTGGCACCCTGGACCCTCGAGTCCTCGAGCCGACGCCCCTCGAACCCTCGACCCCTCGACCCTCCGCCGCCCTGGGAGGCAGAGGAGGCACAAGGACATACTAGTACTATATGTTCTCCTTGGAGGCGCGCGTCCGACCCAAACATATAGTATACCTATCTTGTAGTATATCGTTTCCCGAGCGGTGTGGCCAGAAAGCGCCCGCCACGACGCATATACTATCAGATTTCTCGGTGCGCGCGTCGCCCCTGAGGGGGCGACGCACATGTAGTATAAGTATGTTGGGGTGACGCCGATGGGAGGCAGAGGAGGCCGGCGCCCGCGGCCCTCCTGCAGGGTCTTCTTCAGGCCCGGCCAGCTCTCGGCGTGCACCCTCAAGCCGATGGTCTGGGCAGCGCCCGCCCGGCGGGCCGCCGACGCGGCTGCAGAGGGGAGAAGACGGGTGGAGGAAGGGTCGGCGGTGGACAAATCTCCCTTGAGTAAACCTCCCCTTAGTACAACTGGCCTGGGACCGAAACCGACGGACCTGGACCCGCAAAAATGGCGGCCGCGACGCCCTCTCGCGAACCGAAAACGGCCAATTCCTTAATCGACGTGTCAGGGTAGTGACTACCTACCAGACCACCCCAACCCAACCCGAAGTCCCGAATTTCGGGTTGGGGGGGGTAAGGGTTCCACATGTGTTTTCTCGACGTTTCCCGACCCCCCCCCCACCGGAAATCGAGGGTATATCTGAGTCTTCGGGTTGGGTTGGGGTGGTCTGGTGGGTGGTGGTGAGGGGGGCCACGAGACGCATTCAAGAACGACGCGAGGGCCATGAGATCTGGGAGATCTCATGGCATCGTGGCCTCCGCCATGGTATTCCCCCCCCTCCCCCAGTCATCACCCTCCTCTCGGCCGCCCCCGATTCTCAAGACCCAACGTTGGTTTTTTACTTCAGACCCCGCGGGGCTGCTTTCGAGCCTCAGGACAATTAAAACATGGGCTGGGGACGCAACAATGCCTCCTGGGGAAGGGGTCGGGAGCTCTGGGGCCACGGCTTGAGCAAACATCGAATCGGAGGATGGAGGGCGGAGGAAGTGGATCCATAATTGTGTGTTTGGTCGTTTGCCTATTTTTCGGCTGTACGATACGGTAGGTCCGTGCGGCGTCGGCGCGCGCAAAGGTTTTTGACACCGCGTCAATCGTTCAATTTGAATCGACAGCGGCCCCGATTGTGCAAGGTTGAATCCAGTCGGGTCCCATGGCGTTACCATGCCCATCGGTGCTCCCGCGTCGCAGCATTCAACCTTCGACGCCTTCGCTGGCGTCGCCAGCGCGTCAACGCCGCGCGATCCTGCCGTACAGCACATGGCTCACCGAGCCACCAAATCGGCGCGGGCTTCCTCTCCGCCCCTGCCCTGGCCTCTGCCTGCCCATCGCTCCCCTCCCCCCTTCGGGGGCTCGAGCCCGCGCCGAAGATGAAGTGACTGCCGGGGTGCTGGGCACCGCGCCGGGCGCGGCCCGGGGCTGGCCCACAGCCCGCTGGCCCGATCGCGGCGGGCCCCACTTTGACGACGGCGAGGCGGAGGTGGAGACGGAGGCGCGGCGCGCATACCTGGAAGCGTACAGCGGCGCCTCCTACACGTGCTACTACGACGATGTGTGCGTGCGTGTTGCGGAGCCGGTCAATGTGGAGGTCAGCGGCGAGTCCCCTCGCCCGTTATCAGAACCATCATCATGTGCATCATCATCAACATTATCCCCATCACCATCATGATCCTCATCACCCAAAACCACGCTTCTTCCAAGCCTGGAGGCACGAGGTACCACACTCATGGCGCTCCACCGCGACAGCGGGTCTACATCTGGGGATAGCCGAGGTCCGAGCTGCTGCGCTGTCACCGAACATCGCAGCGGCATCACAGCTCTCAATCTCATAGCAAAGGCGTCGACGAAGCGGGCTCATCAATGGTGCACGCAAGCACGCAGCGCAACCTTCATGAGAAGAAGGGGGAAACAAAAAAAAGGGCACCTGCACAAACATCAACCGTCGTATGTAGGTGCACGCGGAATTCCTGGGTCGCCGCTGGACTCCCCTCCCTGGCGCAGGGAGCGCGCCCGATGGCAGCGCCAGAAGCGCCGACAAATGGGTCCAGCGTCGATCCAAGCGATCCGCGCGAAACTCTAAAAGTGCATGTTTACACTGATGATCCTTCAATGAAAGCGATGCTGCTCACACAGCTTCATACATCCATGGCATAGTCCTTCCAATCGTGCGCGCCGACATCGGTATCTCTCTGCGACGCGACCCAGGGCCCTGCCCCGCAGAGGGCAAGGACGAGAAGCACCTCCGCCGAGACGTAGTAACTCTTCTTCTTCTCCTGCCGAAGCCCCGGGTGACCCCTGCCCTCTCTCACGGGATGGCAAAATCAGTCAACTCCGAACCGGTGAACCCGATCGAAATGAAATGTGCGTCGGATCGGTCTTCATCGGCACGGAATCGGAACGGGCTCGGATCGGCCGCGACAGCATTCACAACAACACCATGCAAACCTCGGGCCGCATCAGATCGTCGGATTATCAGAATCGGATCGGCTCAGGCCAGCCAGAATCGATGTTGAACCAGATCGACCGTATCGAAATGGACCCTAGGATGGTGTATGCTACTGGCCGCCCGCGATTTCACTAACAAAAGAGCCACATGCTGGGAATCCAATGTCACGCGAATCCCATCACTCCAAGATCCACAGCTCATCGTCTTCCGTCGTCGTGTCGTGCTCCCCCGAGGTCTACTTGTCCTCCTCCTCCTCCCTCGCTTATTCCTCATTCTCCTTACTCCTCCTGACTCCTCTGCCCTCCTCCATAAGAAATAGAAATGGTATGAAACAAAAATGATGAGGATGACAAGGGCGACGATGAAGAAGAAGAAGAAGAAGAAGAAGGAGAAGAAGAAGAAGGGGGAGGGGGCAACGATGAAGAAGAAGAGGGGGGCAACAATGCAGGATATAGTTGGAAAGGAAAGATAATAATATGAAGATGTAATTCGGCTGGAAGGTACTGCACTGGCCCCAACTTGTATGAAGCGGGAGGAGTACAGGGGTGAAAATGAGGGGAGGAGGAGGAGGAGATGAAGAGGTAGGCTGGAAGGGATTACGTTGGCCACAGGGAGGGGTGAGCATGACAGGAGAGGAAATGAGGGATCACTTTGGATCTCGCCAGTTCCCGAGCTCCTTGCACGCCTTCATGTGTCTTCCTCCTGCTCTGCAGCCCTCCGTCCACGTCCTCAATCGTCTTCGTCCACGCCCATCCCTCACATTCGTGGCTGACGGAAAAATCGCTGGCGAATCAGTCATATGCAGCCGATGTTCCTCCTCCGCCTCCTGGCACCGGAAGCACCCGTCTAACGAGGAAAGCGCCTGGGCGGAAAGGCCAAAACCAGCTCCTCACAGCAAATTTCAACCCACACCTTTGCCAACCCACCCCTGTCTTACACCCCAGGTCCTCCTCCTCCTCCTCCTCTTCCTCCTCCTCTTCCTCCTCGTCCTCCTCCTCCTCCTCCCGTCTCCGGACATTTTGGGTCCGTCCTGGCACGTTTTCATTCCGCTTCAATCTCTGACGGCTCCGGGGCCCGACACGGGCCTCCAGAAACAAAACATGAAGAAAACCGAATCGACGACCGACAGCCCCAAAAGTCCCCCCTTCCGTCCGACCGGACACATGTGCATGACCACCGAACAAGCGCCCCGGGTTCCTCCAGTGTCGTCGCACCCGCGTGGATTGGCAGGGGCTTGCCGTCCGTCCCGAGCATTACGACCTCGGCAGAGGGGCATTGGCGGCGACGGGATGAGCGAGGCATGAAGTTGATGCCCAAATCCACAGCATTGGGAACCGATGTCCCAGGACCCCAGGAGGCATTGGATTTGGATATCGCTGGGCCCCCTGGGGCCGGAAAGTATCCACATCCATTACCTCCTGGGGTCCTGGGACAGCGGTTCCCCAGACGGTGAAACGCAACGCCCAATCGGCCCATGGCCCATCCTGAAACAGAACATGGGAATGAACACACACACGGCAGCAACACCCGTGGAACATGGCCGAGAAAAAAACCTAAAGAACAACAAACAGCAATCCAGGCATCAACCAATCCGCCCAGCGCTGCCTCGGCCTCCAGACAGCATCGAGAGTCTCTGCTGAAGCCCAGCGGGCGCCTGGCTGCGCGACGAGCGACGCAGAGCCAAACGCGGCGGTGCGAAGCAGCCGGCCTCGAGCCTGGGGCGAGCTGTCGAACCTGGCTCCAGGACTTCACGGGTGCCGCCAGAGCGCGGCCTCCGGTCCTTCTCTCTCGCGCGATGCCCTGCGGTCTCCGAGCATCCACCGTCGAAGCGGACCCCTCCAACACTCCTGCGCAGCATCCCGGTCCGTGGCAAAGAACAAACTCTAGCCTCGCAAAGCTGGAGTGCCGTCGGGTCTGCACCGTCCCGTTTGCCGTTAGGGTCAGATCGTTGGATCCCCACTGTCCCGTTGGGGTTTGCGCGGGCCGTCACCATGCAGCCCCCCCCATGAGGGGCAGAATAAAGCGGAGACGGTTCCATGCTTGTCGACACCCACGGAAGGTGACGTCACCTGCGGACGCAAAATTTCATCACGGCGCGGCAACGAGACGGATCCGTAAGTCCCCGCTGTCTCAAGACAACCTGGCACCTTAGACACATGCTGTCCACACGCGCCATCCTGCGTTGAAGCGACGACCCACAACACACAATTCCGCGGACATGGGACGCATTCCGAACTTCTACCTCAATATCGCCACTTCCGCTGACTTCACTTCTTCCTGCGGCTGGCAACTCAGCCTGGTGCTTCATGGTTTTAGCCCCCTGTGCTTGCCCCCAGACGCGCTCCGACATTCGGCCGCCCGCTGAATTTTCTCTTTTTTCTCGGGGCTCCCAGACGCGTCCATCACGAGCTCGAATTCCAGATCGTTCCCAACGCCTTGTCGGAGCATACTGCCTTTCCGCTAGCCGCTAGTCCCCCTCTTTGGCCCCTTTGGCCTCCAAGATCGCCTCCTCGGGCCCGAAAATTACATCTTCGGCCCAACTTTGCCGACAGGTCGGAACCTTGAACTCATTCCACTTGCCAAACATGTATGTCTGGCCAAGGTCGCCCTGGGCATCCTATGGCAGATTATGAGTCTCGTCCATGGGCCTCTTCGTTACTGACATGTTTATACCATTTTGGACGCACTCCAGAATGTAGAATCCAATCTGGGAAGGACGTGGGCAAAACATGGGCCCGCAAACGGGGGCCAAACTGGCCCCGATAAAGGGTCTAGAACCAACGGGATGCGTTCGGACTTGGATCAGGCCGAACACGGGTTGGCCGACTGTTGGGGCCTCTTGGGCAAACTCTGAACATGCATGAATCATTGTTACGGTGCGTTTAGCCTCTCTCGGGGCCGTCTTCGACTTCGCTGGCCATGCAAATTGCCCGCCTTTGGGGCCGGCCACGGGTGATTGCGACGCGTCCCGAATCAAAGAGGGCGGGTGCGAGGCGGTGCGGGCGGGGAGGAGGAGCTGTATTCTGCACGTGCCCTTTGGCGTCACTGCCAGTTGCGTGAGCTGCGACGGTGGATCCGAGGCACCTGATCTGTGAATGTGCCCTCCCTCCGACCAGGAAGGGGTCACGTGGCAAGCACTCTGGCCACCATCGAGTCCGATTGGAGAAGACACGCGACAGGACACAAGACCCTTCCGATGACCAAAGTTACACGGGAATGTGGAAGGCATAGGTCACTAAACACAAGACACGAGGGTAGCCTCGAATTGGCAGTTTCGACCTACTACTTAAACTCGCCTCGATATTGGCCCTGGGAGCAAATACATCCCTCGACACAAGCAGGACGAGGAGGCAAATCTCTACACGCTCATCCCTGATAGTGGTTTGCTTTGCCGCGGCAAGGGGCGTGAATCCCCGTATGACGCTCCGTCATCCCTCACCCTCATCAAAGTCGCCCACGGCGATACCAGCACCGAAAAGAACTTCCCACTCAAAGCGGAGGAGCAAGCAATGTATCTTGGGACCTGCTAAGCGTCAAATGCACTGCAAAACCTGAAGTGACAAGGAGAATTGGTGAGGCCACGTCCACATTCAATAATGTGTACAAGTGATGGTCGCACGACAACATCAGCCGTGCTAGAAACATACACTCATACATAGCTATAGTGTTGTCAAAAGTGCTGCACAATATGGGAGCGTTCTGGCTGCTGCAGGCAGACATCGATCGTTTGGACAGTTCTCACACGCAACGTTTACGACGAGTTCTAAAACAACCTAGCGCATGTGTGTCACGAGTGTCCAAGACAGAAATTCTGGAGCGAGCAGGAGAACGCCAACTGAGCTCCACACTTCGCAGGCGCCAGACGGCACTATGGTTACGAGAAAACTGCAGCGTTACTTTTGGTCAGCGGCCGCGGGCGAGCGCGCTGGCGGCGAGTCAGGACAAAGCGGGCTACGCCGAGACGAATTAGGCAGAAGAAACGCGGGAAAAGTATAGCAAAGCAACGCGCGAGGCGACAGCTACACGCCGGCCGAGGCCTCAAAATATTGCAGCGCTACGTGAAGACGACCTATTGAGAGCTCGAGCGTGCCAGCCTGGCACGGACATGCCTATAGAAGGTGGGCGCACCGACGACGCAGGGGGAGGGCATAAACAGCAAGGGGGCCCTTGCGTTTTTGCGTGTTTTTTTTCTGAGCACTGAATCTCAGCGTGGCTTCTTTCTGTTCTCCCTCCCCTCCTTCCTCGCCTCCTTCCCCCGCCTGTGTTCCCCTTTCTCCGCAGAGTGGCGCAATCACCTGTAACCAACATTTTCTTCGCGCCAGTGCGCCGTGTGAGCTCTGGGCTTGACTGACTGACTGAGCGAACCCCACGCCGACTGAACGAAAATCAAGCAACCGCATCTGAGAAGAACGCGGCGACACAACGACGACGCAACAACCGACCGAACCGGACCGACAGAACGCAATCGACCACGACGCAGCCGAACCGAGCGAGCAGTTGAAACCCCTGCTCATCCCTACTCCAACGCTCGAAGAATAGCAACTGCGTAAACATCATGTTTCGGATATGCGCGCGGATATGCGGACCGCCGAAGGAATATAACTGTGCTGTCTTCGCTCGTCCACACTGTTCACGCTTCCTCCTCCTCACAACGGAAGGTATGGCGATCTCAACCAGACGTCGTGGAGTTATCCACCAGATGCAAGAAGTGGGTTCCACATCGAGGATGTACAATTCGGGGTCCGCCCATCGTCGATAATTCGGCACACGGAGGAGGAGGAGGAGGGGGCAGAACATGCACTAGGGATGCGTGGATCTGGCGCGTGGCCGCAATATCCATCGATCGGGACGTTGCCCCCGAGAACTGAGGCCACAGCCGCCTGCTTTGGCGAGTGAGCGCGCCGATTCTGCAAGAAAACGGAACCCACCGCGCATCCACGCGCTTCGATCCATGTGTTGCGCTTCCTCGAAATGCGGGTGCGTAGTTCCTCTGGGTTGGGCTCGTCCCGGGGTCGTTGCTTGAAGGGGGCCCCCAACGGGCCCTCCTCAACCCTCACAAGATCAGTCAACATCGAATCGGCAATCCAAATTCTAGACGCTTCGCGTATCCCCACCAGCCCGTCCAGAAATGAGCCCCAGAGGAGTGGAGGTGATGAGGGAAGCGGGGGAGCATGCAGAAGAACAAAGAGCGGGTTAAGCCGCCATACGTTCCAAGAGGGGGAGGATGTAGGAGGAGTCGTCGTCGTCGGAGTAGGAGGAGGAAGACGAGGAGCAGGAGGAGGAGCAGGAGGAGGAGGGGGAGGAGGAAGAGGAGGAGGAGGAGGAGGAAGATGAGGAGGAGGAGATGGAGGAGGGCGAGGACGAGGAGGACGAGAAGGAGGAGGAGGAGGAGGAGAAGGAGGAGGAGGAGGAGGGGGAGGGGGAGGAGGGAGGAGGGAGAAAAAGAGGAGGAGGAGGAGGACAATGGCGAGCTTGGGGGCCTCTTGGGCCGTCTTTGGGGCCTCTTGGCGGTCCCGGGGGCCTCTTGCGTATCTCGGGGAGCTTCTTGTGTCCTTTTGGGAGTCTCTTGGAGGCCTCTTGGAGGCCTCTTGGGGGCCTCTTGGGGCCTCTTGGGGCCCTCTTGGGGCGCTCTTGGGGCGCTCTTGGGAGCCTTCGGGGCGCTCTTGGGGCCATCTTGGAGGAGATCTATCAAGAAGGGGGGGTTGCTTATTAGCGTTGCCCCTCTAGAGTGCCTCGAATCGCCTCTTGGGCCTTCCTAGAGGCCAAAATCCGTCCAAAACCTAAGGAAAATCAATGTTTTTTGCTTTCTCGCCTTTTCGCTCTTGGAGCCGTCTTGGGCCATCTTGGGAGCATCTTGGGGCCTCTTGGGGGTCTCTTGGGAGCCTCTTGGGGGCATCTTGGGGGCCTCTTGGGGCCTCTTGGGGCCCTCTTGGGGCGCTCTTGGGGCGCTCTTGGGGCGCTCTTGGGAGCCTTCGGGGCGCTCTTGGGGCCATCTTGGAGGAGATCGATCAAAGAAGGGAGGGTCGTATATTAGCGCTGCCCCTCTAGAGTGCCTCGAGTCGCCTCTTGGGCCCCCCAAGAGGCCAAAATCCTTCCAAAACCTAGGTAAAATCAATGTTTTTTGCTTTCTCGCCTTTTCGCTCTTGGAGCCGTCTTGGGCCATCTTGGACTCTCTTGGGGCCTCTTGGGGGTCTCTTGGCAGCCTCTTAGAGGCTTCTTGGGGGCCTCTTGGGGTCTCTTGGGGCGCTCTTGGGGCGCTCTTGGGGCGCTCTTGGGAGCCTTCGGGGCGCACTTGGGGCCATCTTGGGGGAGATCTATCAAAGAAGGGGGGAGCCTCAATTAGGCTCGCCCCTCTAGAGTGCCTCGGATCGCCTCTTGGGCCCCCCCAAGAGGCCAAAATCCTTCCAAAACCTAAGGAAAATCAATGTTTTGTGTTTTCTCGCCTTTTCGCTCTTGGAGCAGTCTTGGGCCATCTTGGGCGTCCCAACGCGTCGCGGAACGCCCCGTCCAGGTCAGTGGGGAGGGGTAAGGGGAGGGGTAAACCCCTCCCCGAAGGGAAAGAAGGGGGGTTGGCAGAGGAAACTCTCTAGACCACCTACGCCCTAAAGGGCTGGTGGGATTCACTCGACATGTGCACCGGACTGGGCTGCATAGACACCGCGTAGGCATCGAATCGGATCGGCCGCGCCCGAGGGTGCACAACAGGGCCACGCAAACGCTGGGCCGCATCGGATCGTCGGAGTCTCGGAACCGGATCGGATCGGAATGGCCGAAACCGATATCGGATCGGCCGATCAGATCGACATGGGCCCTCCCTGACGATCCTCCTCCTTGACGACCCTTCTCCGTCACCCTCCTTGACGACCCTCCTCCTCCTCCTCCTTCTCCTCCTCCTCCTCCTCCTCCTCCTTCTCCTCCTCCTCCTCCTCCTCCTCCTCCTCATCCGCTCTGCTCCCCTGGATCCTCCTCTTCTCCTCTTCTTGGGGGGGGGGGAAACTGTGGGGAGCAGAAACTTTCCAGCCGCCCTGGGGACAGGCCCCCCCGACGGCGCAGCAGCTTCTCTCACGCCGGCCTTCGCCCTCGGATCCCCCTCCCTGACGACCCTCCCTTCTCCCCCACCTCCTCCTCCTCCTCCTCCTCCTCCTCCTCCTCCTCCTCCTCCTCCTCCTCCTCCTCCTGCTCTCCTCCTCCTTGACCACCTCCTCGGCCTTCCTCGGCCCTCCTCGATCCTCCTCGACCCTCCTCGAACCCTCCTGGCTGACGACTCCCCCCCGAGACCACTCCTCCCCCCCCGAGGGAACGTGTGCGAGGCGGGGATCTATCCCACATCCACCGCCTGGGAACCGACGTCCTGGTGCCCCAGTGGGCGATGGATCTGGACACACACGTTGCCCCCCCGAGGGCAAACAAAAACGCCCACATCCACCGCCCGCCGAGGTCCCCGAAGATGGCTCCTACGGGCGGTGGCCGTGCACAAACTCCGGCCCCGGAGCGGGGCGGCCTCGAGCGCGCACTGCCGCCTGTCCTGCTCCCCCACCTTGAAGCGGACCTGCGGTTCGGCGCCCAAGAGCCTGTTTTTTTTGTTCTTAGACTCTGGCAAGTCCCACCAGCCCTTTAGGGCGTAGGTGGTCTAGAGCGTTTCCTCTGCCAACCCCCCTTCTTTCCCTTCGGGGAGGGGTTTACCCCTCCCCTTACCCCTCCCCACTGACCTGGACGGGGCGTTCCGCGACGCGTTGGGACGCCCAAGATGGCCCAAGACTGCTCCAAGAGCGAAAAGGCGAGAAAGCACAAAACATTGATTTTCCTTAGGTTTTGGAAGGATTTTGGCCTCTTGGGGGGGCCCAAGAGGCGATCCGAGGCACTCTAGAGGGGCGAGGCTAATTGAGGCTCCCCCCTTCTTTGATATATATTCCCAACATGGCCCCAAGAGCGCCCCGAAGGCTCCCAAGAGCGCCCCAAGAGCGCCCCAAGAGCGCCCCAAGAGGGCCCCAAGAGGCGCCCAAGATGCCTCCAAGAGGCTCCCAAGAGACTCCCAAGAGGCCCCAAGAGAATCCAATATGGCCCAAGACGGCTCCAAGAGCGAAAAGGCGAGAAAGCAAAAAACAATGATTTTCTGTAGGTTTTGGACGGGTTTTGGCTTCTTGGGGGGGGGCCCAAGAGGCGACTCGAGGCACTCTAGAGGGGCGGGGCTAATTAAAGCTCCACCCTTCTTTGATAGATCTCCTCCAAGATGGCGCCATGAGCACCCCGAAGGCACCCAAGAGCGCCCCAAGAGCGCCCCAAGAGAACCCCAAGAGGCTCCAAGAGACGCCAAGAGGCGCCCAAGAGGCCTCCAAAAGGCTCCCAAGAGACCCCCAAGAGGCCCCAAGAGGCTCCCAAGATGGCCCAAGAAGGCTCCAAGAGCGAAAATGCGAGAAAGCAAAAAACATTGATTTTCCATAGGTTTTGTAAGGATTTTGGCCTCTTGGGGAGCCCAAGAGGCGACTCGAGGCACTCTAGAGGGGCAGCGCTAATTGGGGACCCCCCCTTCTTTGATAGATCTCCTCCAAGATGGCCCCAAGAGCGCCTCGAAGGCTCCCAAGAGCGCCCCAAGAGCGTCCCAAGAGGCCCCAAGAGGCCCCCAAGAGGCCTCCAAGAGGCCTCCAAGAGACTCCCAAAAGGCCACAAGAAGCTCCCCGAGATACGCAAGAGGCCTCCGGGACCGCCAAGAGGCCCCAAAGACGGCCCAAGAGGCCCCCAAGCTCGCCATTGTCCTCCTCCTCCTCTTTTTCTCCCTCCTCCCTCCTCCCCCTCCCCCTCCTCCGCCTCCTCCTTCTCCTCCTCCTCCTCCTCCTTCTCGTCCTCCTCGTCCTCGCCCTCCTCCATCTCCTCCTCCTCATCTTCCTCCTCCTCCTCCTCCTCCTCCTCCTCCCCCTCCTCCTCCTGCTCCTCCTCCTGCTCCTCGTCTTCCTCCTCCTACTCCGACGACGACGACTCCTCCTACATCCTCCCCCTCTTGGGGCGTATGGCGGCTCAACCCGCTCTTTGTTCTTCTGCATGCTCCCCCGCTTCCCTCATCACCTCCACTCCCCTGGGGCTCATTTCTGGACGGGCTGGTGGGGATACGCGAAGCGTCTAGAATTTACTTGCATGGACGGGGGGGGGGGCTGAGCCTGAAGCAAGCCCGGGGGGGGGGGGCGCGGAAATCACGCAAGTCGAAAGGCACTTGCACGCTAGTATTCGCTTGAAGAGGGGCGAGGGGGGGGGCGAACGGGGCCGCGAGGGGGGGGGGGGGGGGGGGGGGGGCGAACGCCATGCAAGTAAACTTGCCTAAATCCAATAAAAAACAGGCTCCAAGAGGGGGGGCCCGAGGCCGCCGCCGCCGGCCACCGCGTCGGAGCAGGGCGGGGGGCGGAGAGGGCTCCGAGGGCAGCGGAGGAGGAGGACCGCGGCCAGCCGAGGCGGCCATCCAAGTCGGCATGCCGAAACGGACAAACGAGTCAGTCCTCGCCGAACTCTCCTCGCTTCGCCGGGCTCTTGTCCTCCCATCAAGGACCCGCTGCCCGAGGCTCTCTGCCACGGCGCGGGAGGGCAATCAAAAGAGGGCGAGACCCCAGCGGCGGAGGGGGAGGGCGAGGAGGAGTACACCCTGCGAAATGCTTAAGAAATCATGGGTTAAGAAATTCATAGTCTCAGAACTGGAATAAAGCCCAGAACTTCTATCAAAATCTTGGGATTTACATTGAAAAGTTAAGAATAATCGAGACTCTGGACGAAAACTTAGGTTTTCTTAAGCATCGCCTAAGGTGTAGATTGAGGACGCGAGACCCTTGGGGGCCGACGTTGGGACACTTGGGGCGGCAGCCTGAGGCCGAAGGCCGAAGGAGGCTTGGAGGCCGAGGGCCGAAGTGGTGATCGCACAGTCGGGGCGTTGACCTAAGGAAACCTCGAGAAAGAACGAGGCCCCCATTTGCCCACAAGTTCAAAGCCTCGATTCCCCCCCATCGAAGACGTGAAACAAAACAAAAAACGAGCACCAGCTGTAAAACAACTGAGCGACACGGAGCCCCTCCCAAACGGAACGGGTTCGGAGGAGGGAGGAGGGAGGAGGGAGGAGGGAGGAGGAGGAGGGGGAGGGGGAGGACGGGGAGGAGGAGGAGGAGGAGGAGGAGGAGGAGGAGGAGGAGGAGGAGGAGGAGGAGGAGGAGGAGCCCTCCCAAACGGAACGGGTTCGGTATAGTAAGGACGGGCGGTAAGGACACGGCCCTCGGAGGCCGAAGCCGGGATCCCGTTGGGCGGCGGGCGGCCAGCGAGAACGGCAAGGGACGGGCCGCGCGGGCAGGGCCGCCCGGGACGGAGGCGCGCGTCCTTGCTGGGCGCGCCGACTTTCGCCTGCCGCCGCTCGGGCGTCCATTTCCCGTGCACTTTTCGGTCTCGTGCGTGTTTTTTTCTTCGCGTTCCTCATTGCATGGACCCCCGTTTGCATTGAGTCCCGTCTCAAGGCTCCCGACGTCGCTCGGACGTCCATTTCCCGTGCATGTTTCGGTCTCGTGCGTGCTTTTTCGTTCGCTCGAGGATCCAGGATGTTCCTCGAGGGTCCTCGCCGAGGAAAACATACGCTCGTCCGAGCGATGCCAGGGTAGGGATCAGCTGCGACGACGGTGACGAAAACGAGGATGTCTCCTCGCGCCTCCGCCTCCGCCTCCCCTCGGGGATCTTCTGACCCGGGTCAATCCAGACCCGGGTCAGCAGGAAACCAAAAACTGCAATGCAGGAACAAAAAAACTGCAACGCAGGTCTTCGCAAACCCGGGTCAGCCAACATGTGCGGCCGCCTCGCGGCCACGAGCGGCTCGCTAACCCGGGTCAGCCAGAGGGGGTCTTCGCAGGATCCTGCAGGATCTGGCGCTCTGGCTGACCCCCGTTTGCATTGAGTCCCGTCTCAAGGCTCCCGACGTCGCTCGGACGTCCATTTCCCGTGCATGTTTCGGTCTCGTGCGTGCTTTTTCGTTCGCTCGAGGATCCAGGATGTTCCTCGAGGGTCCTCGCCGAGGAAAACATACGCTCGTCCGAGCGGTGCCAGGGCAGGGATCAGCTGCGACGACGGTGACGAAGAAGAGAATGTCTCCTCGTGTCTCGCGCCTCCGCCTCCCCCCTCCTCCGCGGCGTGCCGGTCTCCCCCTCCCTCCCCTGCCCCCCTCCTCCCCTCCCCCTCCCCCTCCCCCTCCCCCTCCCCCTCCCCCTCCCCCTCCCCCTCCCCCTCCCCCTCCCCCTCCCCCTCCTCTCCCCTCCCTCCTCCTCCTCCTCCTCCTCCTCCTCCTCCTCCTCCTCTTCCTCCCTCCATCCCTCCTCCGCGCCCGGGTGCGGGAACAGCGAGACGCTTCACCTGACGTTCGACGACGACCTCCTCCCTCGATCCTCCTTGGCTGCCTACCAAGACTGCCCCGACCCGAAGACCAGAATTTCGGGTTGGGGTGGGTACGGGTTCCACATGTGTTTTTCCGATGTTCCCCGACCCCCCCCCACACTGGAAATCGATGGTACATTTGGACCTTCGTGTTGGGTTAGGGTGGTTTGGTGGGTGGTGACTCCTGCAGCACCCGAGGCCGCCGCGCACCTAAGGCAGCAGCTGTGCGCGAACGCGCGCGTGCGTGCGGCAACATGATAAGCATGAGCATTCGAAGGCCCGCAAGGGTCTTTTGGACCAACGCTGGGCCCACCCCTTGGCATGGAACAGGCGGGTCCTGAGGGAAGCGGGTCCTTGATCCCGGGGCCTTCACACAAGATCAATTTTTCGTTCCCAATTTTGCCTGACTACCTCAGGCCCCTTAGAGGGCCTGGGAGAGCCACTCACCACCCGCTTCCCTCGGGACTTGTTTTTGTTCGTGGTGAACTCCCCTCGACCCCTGGCGCGCAGAGCGCGCCAGGGGCGGCCAGGGGGTCCAGCGCCGATCCCGCCGATCCAGGAAATCCGCGCGGACCTCCAAAAGTGTGTGTGTGTGTGTGTGTTTGTTCTCTTCTTTCTTCGAAGCGGCCATCGCGATGACGACGACAGCGGTGGCGGCAACGGCGACGATGTCCCTCCCCCTTCTGATTCATCTGTCCTTTTGTCTTTCAGGATGCCCAACCCAGCCGACCACAGTCCCCGTCCTACCTGCCACCCCCGTCTCCACATTACTCCCTCCCTCTGCCCCCCCATCCCACCTTGCCTCTGCCTGCCCGGCCCTCTGTCTCGCCTCCGCCTTGTCCTCCCTGCACCCTCCACTTCCACACATCCCTCCTCCTGTCTCGTCTTCCTCCCACAGCCTCGCTCCCACCCCCAACACCCCCTCAGCTACAGTATGGTGTGTGGTTATGTCGTTGTTATTGTTTTCTCACTCTCTCCACATATCTTTCAATGTATATGTAGATCCGTGTCCTGCAACCTCTGCCCCCATCTCTCCACCCATCTGTCTCTGTCTGTGTCTCTGTCTCTGCCTGCCTGCCTGTCTGCCTGCCTGCCAATCTGTCTGTCTGGCTCGCTCTGTCTGTCTGCCTGTCCGTCTGTCTCTGCCTGTCCGTCTGTCAGCCTGACTGCCTGTCTGTCTGTCTGTCTGTCTCTGTCTGTCTGTCTCTCTCCCTCTCTCTTTCGCTTTTTGTTTGTTCTCCGTTTTTTGTTTCTCTCTCTCTCTCTCTCTCTCTCTCTCTCCCTCCCTCTCTTCCTCTCTCTCTCTCTCTCTCCATTGTATAAGCGCGGACCCGACATCCCTCTTTGAGGTTGATCGGGTTCGTGGCTGTGCTGCCCACCACGTTCTTTCGGTGCACGAAGACGCCCTGACGCCCCACTCACATCGCGGGAATGCAAACGTAACCTTCTGAGGGCTACGTCGACCGTAAGCCTCTAGGTGCGATGTCACGGCACTCAGAAGATTCCCGAAGAGATCCCTCAGGCTTGAAGAGGAAAGACTGATGCTTGCCATGAGGATGCGCATAATGATTACCACGATGAGGAATGAATGATGACCACGATTTTGATTACGGAAAAAAGACACAAGAGAACATACGCGTGGGAGCGGTCGGCAAATCCGCTGGCCCCCTTGCAGGGCCACCAGGCAGCCGGGGTGAGGATTGCAGTTCCCTATTTCAGCAGTTTTCAGTGTCCACTGTTCAAATCCTGCTTTCTGTTTCCTTACTGCAAATGTTAGCTGGACGCGCGATGGGGGAAAACCGAAAAGCATCCTGGCTAGCGTCCCCGAATCACGTTGACTGAATTCCCGGGGGGTCGTGGGACACGTAGAAATCCGCCGACCATGTCGGCGTGTGGACGACGCATCCCGGTGTCGTCGTCTTGCGTGGATCACCGTCGTCGTCGTCATCGTCGTCGCCCGAAATAACAGGAAATCGAACATGAAACATAAGGAAATCGTAGTCGTGGCGAAGCCCCTACCTACCCTCCCCACCAGGGGGGTGGGGGTGGGGGGGTGGGCGGGAAGGCAAATACGCACCCCCCCGGGCCCAGGGCCAAGACCCGTACGCTGGGACCGCACTCCCAAAGCCACTTGCCTTACACATTGGCATGGCGAAAGACCCCACCATATGCAGTTGCGAATGCCGTCGTTGTCAGTATCGTCTGCGGTGGGTCTTCTGCTGGGGCCACGAAGCGCGTGGAAAGCGTGCCGGCATGGGAAGGAGCACGGCGGGGCTCCCTATACGGGGCCACGAAGCGTGTGAGGAGTGCACCAAAATGGGGCGGCGCCGCCATGCGGACTGCGCCACTGGGACCTTGGGTGGGCTTCCATATTGGGGCCACGATACGTGAGAAGGGTGTGCTGAGACGGGTGATGGCGATGATAATAGAGAAGAGAGAGAGCAGCGGGAGGAGGAGGAACGCGGGGCGCTGTCTCTCCAAAACGAGGACCCCACACCACAGGACTGCGCCACTGGGATCTAAACTGGAGCCCCATATGGGGCCACGAAACGTGTGAGGGGTGTTCCGAATGGGGCGGCGCCGCCATGCGGACTGCGCCATTGGGACCTCAGGTTGAGCTCCAATACGGGGCCACGAAACGTGAGAAGGGTGTGCCAAAATGGGGCGGCGCTGCCACGCGGACTGCGCCGCTGGAACCTTAGGTGGAGCTCCCTATGGGGCCACGAAACGTGTGAGGGGTGGGCCCAAATTGGGCCGTGCCGCCATGCGGACTGCGCCACTGGGATCTTAGGTGGAGTTCCCTGTGTGGCCACGAAGCGTGTGAAGGGTGTGCCAGGAGGGAGGGAGGGAGGAGGGGGAGGAGGAGGAGGAGGAAAGGGGAGGAGAGGAGAGGAGAGGAGGAAAGACGAACGCGGGGACCGTCTTTTCCACACGAAGACCCAGCACCACAAGATGGTTGGGAAACAACGCTGAAACCGCTCCAACAGCCACGATCCCCGTGAATTGCGCTGGCTCCGCTCCCCCAGAGCCACGATCCCTAGGCAATCACACAAAGGATCCGCGCCTCGTCGGCCACGAATCCTTCGAAACTTATTGCATGATGATGCTCGCTCCCTCGGGCACGATCCACTACACTTTGCATCAGGTCCTGGGTCCGCGCTCACAACGCCACGGTCGCCCCTACATTACGCTTGACCCGTTCTCCCGAGGCCACGACCCCGTGTATCTTATAGAGGGTCCGCGCTCCCGAAGCAACGATGCCTCATAACTTCGCTGGGTCCACGATCCCACCCTCGCAATGTACGCTGGATTCACGTTCCAAGGGCCACGGACCCTAGTATGACGGGACGCGCGAAGCTGTTGTCATCTGGGAACGGAGGCAAGAAACGGAGATTGAGGGGTAGAACCGCTTGTCAAACTCGAGCGGACACCCCTCTGGAGCATACAGCGGGAGGCGCGCAGCGACTTTCGTCTGGGGGAAAGATAACGGTGATCTTGTCGTGTGGATCTTGCGCAGCCAGGATGGGCGATGAACAGAGCTGAACTGCGAAAAGGAAGGCGGAACGAGGCGGGGAGGCCTGGGGCAGAGGGGCCGGCGGCACGCCAGCGCGCCTGAGGATGCTCCTGGCCTGTTTGATGAGGCTTCTGCGACTTGGAGACGACGGCCAGGGGATGCGCAATGCAGACGAGGATGTATCGGGAATCGCCGAGACGGGACGGGTGTGAAGGACGCATCGGGCGCCGCGGCCGTTTCAGAGGGCGACAGATTGCGTCCTGGGGCGAACTATCTTCGCGCTTGGCCTGGCGAGAGTTCCCAGGGGCGTATACCAGACTTCCTCCTCCTCCTTCTCCTCCTCCTCCACCTCCTCCTCCCTCCTCCTCCGTTAACCTACTCCTCCTCCTCCTCCTCCTGCAGAGCACGTCGTCAAAGTTAGCCCTGCCCCTCGAAGCACGTCCTGGAGATCGGCAGAGGCCCTGCGAACTACCGCGCAGCGAATAGCCATGAGCCCATCATGTCCCAAGCCAACTACTGCTGCTGCTGCTACTACTACTACTACTACTACTACGGCTACTACTACTACTGCTACTGCTACTACTACTACTACTACTACTACAACTACTACTACTACTACTACTACTACTACTACTACGACTACTACTACTACTACTGCTGCTACTACGACTACTACTTCCACTACTACTACTACTACTACTACTACTACTGCTACTACTACTACTACTACTACTACTACTACTACTAGTACGACTACTACTACAAAAACTACTACTGCAAACACCAACAACAACTACGACGACTACTACTACTACTACTACTATACAACTACTCCTGCTACTACTACTGCTACTACTCCTGCTGCTATTACTACAACTACTACTACTACGAATACTACTACTACTACGACAACTACGACTACTACGACTACTACTACTACTACTACTACTGCTACTACTACTACTACTACTACTACTACTACTACTAGTACGGCTACGAATGCGACTACAGCTACAACAACAACTACTACTACTACTACTACTACGACAACGACTACTACTACTACTACTACTACTACTACTACTACGACGACGACTACTACTACTACTACTACTACTCCTACTCCTACTACTACGACTCCTACTACTACTACTGCAACTGCTACTACTTCTGCTGCTACTACTGCTAGTCCTGCTGCTACTACTGCTACTACTGCTACTACTACTACTACTACTACTACTACTACTACTACTACTACGACTACGACTACGTCTACGACTACGACTACGACTACTAACTACGACTACTAAAACTACTACTACGACTACTACTACTACTACTGCTGCTACTACTACTACTACCATTACTACTACGGCTACTACTACTACTACTACTACTACTACTACTACTGCTACTACTACTACTACTACTACTACTACTACTACTACTACTACTACTACTACTACGCGTCGCCGGCCGGGTCTGGACCAGGGTGCAGGAATTCTACACCTCCAAGAACTCCTCCAAAAACTACTCCTCCAAGAACTCCTTCAAGAATTACGCCTCCAAGAATTACTCCTCCAAGATCTCTGAAACGAATGTTTAATCAAATTACTCCTCCAAGAACTTGCACGAATCAGCAAGCACATCTCGCGGTGAGCGCAGATGAGCCCAACCCTAGGGAAACCGGGGCTGCTCTTGAACCGAGATTGCTGCGGAATCGGGATTACATGGATACTCACTCGCACTCCTCTGCGCACGGAGCGACAGGATCATTTCTGAACCGCCATCTTACATGGTTCAATCGAAATCGACCTACTTCTCGGAGAATCTAGCGGCCCTCGCGCCTGGAGAATTAGCCTGGCGAAAGACCCAACCATATGCAGTTGTGAATACCGCAAATATGAATATCGTTGACGGTGGCGCTACCTCTGGGTAGGGGAGACGCATGCGAACATCCCCACTGGGGCCTTCGGTGGAGCTCCCTATGGGGCCACGAAGCGCTGCCCTGGGCGGGGGAACCGCATGCGGACACCCCCACTGGGGCCGTCGGTGGAGCTCCCTATGGGGCCACGAAACGCTGCCTTGGGTGGGGGAACCGCATGCGGACACCACTGGGGCCTTCGGTGGAGCTCCCTATAGGGCCACGAAACGCTGCCCTGGGTGGGGGAACCGCATGCGGACACCCCCACTGGTGCCTTCGGTGGAGCTCCTTATGGGGCTACGAAGCGCTGCCCTGGGTGGGGGAACCGCATGCGGATACCCCCACTGGGGCCTTCGGTGGAGCTCCCTATGGGGCCACGAAACGCTGCCCTGGGTGGGGGAACCGCATGCGGACACCCCCACTGGGGCCTTCGGTGGAGCTCCCTATGGGGCCACGAAGCGCTGCCCTGGGTGGGGGAACCGCATGCGGACACCCCCACTGGGGCCTACGGTGGAGCTCCCTATGGGGCCGCTGCCCTGGGTGGGGGAACCGCATGCGGACACCCCCACTGGGGCCTTCGGTGGAGCTCCCTATGGGGCCACGAAACGCTGCACTGGTTGGGGAACCGCATGCAGACACCCCCACCGGTGCCTTCGGTGGAGCTCCCTATGGGGCCACGAAACGCTGCCCTGGGTTGGGGGACCGCATGTGTCATCCCCACTGGGGCCTTCGGTGGAGCTCCCTATGGGGCTACGAAGCGCTGCCCTGGGTGGGAGAACCGCATGCGGACACCCCCACTGGGGCCTTCGGCGGAGCTCCCTATGGGGCCACGAAACGCTGCCCTGGGTGGGGGAACCGCATGCGGACACCCCCACTGGTGCCTTCGGTGGGGCTCCCTATGGGGCCCACGAAGCGCTGCCCTCGGTGGGGGAACCGCATGCGGACACCCCCACTGGAGCCTTCGGTGGAGCTCCCTATGGGGCCACGAAACGCTGCCCTCGGTGGGGGAACCGCATGCGGACACCCCAAGGAGGAGGGGGGGAAGGAAGGAGGAACGCGGGGCACATCTCTTCAATACGAGGACCCAACACCACAGGATGGTTGGGAATTAGCCTGGCGAAGGACCCAACCATATGCAATTGTGAAACCCGTCGTTGTCAGTATCGCCTTCCGTGGATCTCCTTATGGTTCCACGAAACGCATGAAGAGTGTGCCGAAATGGGGCAAGGCAGAGCTCCCTATGATGGAAACGCATGAGTGGTGTGCCAAAATGAAGCGGCGCCGCCATGTGGACTGCGCCACTGGGACCTTAGGTGGAGCTCCATCTGGGGCCACGAAACGCGTGAGGGGTGTGCCAAAATGAGGCGGCGCCGCCATGCGGACTGCGCCACTGGGACCTTAGAGGTGGAGCTCCCTATGGGGCCACGAAACGCGTGAAGGGTGTGCCAAAATGAAGCGGCGCCGCCATGCGGACTGCGCCACTGGGACCTTAGGTGGAGCTCCATCTGGGGCCACGAAGCGCGTGAAGGGTGTGCCAAAATGAGGCGACGTCACCATGCGGACTGCGCCACTGGGACCTTGGGTGGAGCTCCCTATGGAGCCACGAAGCGTGTGAGGGGTGTGACACCACAGGGAGGGGGGTGACGGGAGGAGGGAGGAGGGAGGAGGGGGAAGAGGAGAGGAGAGGAGAGGAGAGGAGAATAGAGGAGAGGAGAGGAGAGGAACGCGGGGCGGGGACCGCCTCGTCAAAGCGAGGACCTGGCCGAACACCACAAGACGGTGGGGAATGATCGGGCAGTCTTGGACACCCGGAAGCAGCGCCGTCATGACCTCCTGCCCCTCCTGGGATACTCCTTCCTCCCTCCCCCGCCTCCCCCCCCCCCCCGCTGCCCTCTCCCGTGCCCGCCCCCTCTCCCGTGCCCGCCCACCCTCCCCAATGCCCCCCCGTGGCCCTGCATCATCAACCCGCCCCTCCCCCCCCCCCTCTCCTCCTTCTCCTCCTCCTCCTCTCCTTCCTCTCCTCCTCCTCCTCCTCCTCCTCCTCCTCCTCCTCCTCCTCCTCCTTCCTCCGCAAACTCCTGTCCCCGCCGCTCCCTCTGCCTCAGTCCCTGCCGCGAGGGGCAGCGACAATTCAGGAGGGGGACTGGCACAGGGGGGAAGCATCGAGCTGGAATCGGCGTTGCATCAACGACAGATTGGCGATAGGCCCCCGAAAAATTATGCTAACGGAGTTCCCCACATGGGCGTTTTAATAGGGCGCGGGCTTAGTCAGGAGGAAGAGGAAGAGGCGGAGGTGCGGGGGGAGGGGTCGACGAGGATGGCCGGGTGACGGGGGCGACAAAGACTGCAATTGGCGATGGCGATGTGCAGGCAAATGTTTTGGGGAACACCTCGCGTACACGACGCGGCCAAGATAGTGCAAATCGGAACGACAGCCCAAGAGCGGGGCCGAACCTGATACATAGAATGGTATTCGTATACCCTCCCTGGAGGGGTGGCAGGGGCCCCTCCTCGCTCAGGCGGGGCCTCCCTGGAGGGGTTGGAGGGGCACGAAACCTGATCAATAATATGGTTCGCGAATACCCTCCTCGCTCTGGTGGAGCCTCCCTGGAGAGGTGGGAGGGGCGCGAAACCTGATAAATAATATGGTTCGCGAATACTGTCCTCGCTCTGGCGGGGCCTCCCTGGAGGGGTGGGAGGGGCACGAAACCTGATACATAATATGGTTTGCGAATGCTGTCCTCGCTCAGGCGGGGCCTCCCTGGAGCGGTGGGAGGGGCACGAAACCTGATGAATAATATGGTTTGCGAATGCTGTCCTCGCTCTGGCGGGGCCTCCCTGGAGCGCTGGGAGGGGCACGGAACCTAATAAATTATATGGTTTGCGAATACTGTCCTCGCTCTGGCGGGGCCTCCCTGAAGCGCTGGGAGGGGCACGAAACCTGATAAATAATAAGGTTTGCGAATACTGTCCTCGCTCTGGCGGGGCCTCCCTGGAGGGGTGGGAGGGGCACGAAACCTGATAAATAATATGTGTTGCGAATACTGCCCTCGCTCTGGCGGGGCCTCCCTGGAGCGGTGGGAGGGGCACGAAACCTGATAAATAATATGGTTTGCGAATACTGTCCTCGCTCTGGCGGGGCCTCCCTGGAGCGGTGGGAGGGGCACGAAACCTGATAAATAATATGGTTTGCGAATACTGTCCTCGCTCTGGCGGGGCCTCCCTGGAGGGGTGGGAGGGGCACGAAACCTGATAAATAATATGGTTTGCGAATGCTGTCCTCGCTCTGGCGGGGCCTCCCTGGAGCGCTGGGAGGGGCACGAAACCTGATAAATAATATGGTTTGCGAATACTGTCCTCGCTCTGGCGGGGCCTCCCTGGAGGGGTGGGAGGGGCACGAAACCTGATACATAATATGGTTTGCGAATGCTGTCCTCGCTCTGGCGGGGCCTCCCTGGAGCGGTGGGAGGGGCACGAAACCTGATAAATAACATGGTTTGCGAATACTGTCCTCGCTGTGGCGGGGCCTCCCTGGAGCGGTGGTCTGCTATAGTATGGTATGGTATTGTATGGCATGGTATAGTAGGGTATGGCAGGAATAGGAAGAGGGAGCGAGCGTGGTAGGTAGGTATTGTATGGTATTGTATGGTGTGGTAGGTATGCGGTGATGGTGTATGTATGGTTTCCTAGGTGTGGTATGGTAGGTACGGTGGTCTGCTATAGTATGGTATGGTATTGTATGGTATGGTATAGTATGGTATGGTAGGAGTAGGAAGAGGGAGCGGTATTGCATGGTATGGTATAGTATGGTATGGTAGGAATAGGAAGAGGGAGCGGGAGGTGGGAAGGTGGGAAGGTGGGAAGGAGAGGGCGTCCTGGGAAAACACGAACCCCACTCTGGATGTGGGGAAACACGAATCCGCACGTTCCTGAGCGGGGTGGGGCCATGGGCCACTCTGGGTCGATGCGCCCCCCCCTGAGCCTATCCCCCTGACATTGCCCCTGATGTCAGCGCCTTGCTCTCGTCGTCCTCCTTCTCCTTCTTCTCCTGGCCCTGCGAGACGATGAACCCGAAGCCTTCGCAGCGGCGGCAGAGGGCCCCGAGACAGAAGAGGGGCGGGCCTCGGGCGGGCAGCCCTCGCCGCCCAGACGGCAGCGCGGCGGCGAGACGCCGCGGCCAAGGGTGCAGCGACCTGGACGCACGCCCGTCGCCAGCACGGCCGAAGAGACTGGCCGAGGCGAGACGCTGCAATACGCGCCAGGGCGTGGCCCTCTTGCGAGCGCAGCGGGGGGCCCCTGGCCACTCAGATGTGGGTCACCAGGACGTTCCGGAATGAGGTGAGGCCAGCAGCGGAGCTGAGACCGGAAGGGAGCCGCCAGGCCGCCATCAACGCCCACAGAGGGGCGCAGCAGCGTCGCGGCGGCCGACCGCACCCGAGCCCGCACGGCGCAGCCGACCGCGGCGCGGCCGAGCCGACTGGACCGTGGACCCTTGTGGCCGCTCGGTTTGCGCACGTCTCGCCGACCCTGCCGAGATCTCGTCCTCCTCCTCCTCCTCCTCCGCCTCCTCCTCCTCCTCCACCTCCTCCTCCCCCTCCTCCTCCTCCTCCTCCTCCTCCTCCTCCGCCTCCTCCTCCTCCTCCTCGTCCTCCTCCTCCTCCTCCTCCGCCTCCTCCTCCTCCGCCTCCTCCCCCTCCTCCGCCTCCGCCTCCTCCCCCTCCGCCTCCTCCTCCTCCTCCTCCCCCTCCTCGGTCTGCGCACGACTCGTCGTTCCTGTAGGGACCCTCCGAGGCGGGCGTCGGAAGGCCGCGTGGGAGCGGAGGCCACGCCGGGGGGGCACGGGCCGCCGGGGTCACGGCTCCCGAGGTGCTGCGGCGCCGCGCGCACGTGCTGTCCACGCGAGGCGAGGAGGAGGAGGAGGAGGAGGAGGAGGAGGAGGAGGAGGAGGAGGAGAAGGAGGAGGAGGAGGAGGAGGGAGGAGGGAGGAGGGAGGAGGGAGGAGGGAGGAGGAGGAAGTGACGTCGCGGTCACTCTCCAGGAGGAGGAGGACGAGGAGGAGGAGGAAGAACGAGGAGGAATGACGAGGAGGAGGAGGAGGAGGAGGAGGAGGAGGAGGAGGAGGAGGAGGAGGAGGATCGTGGCATGGGATGCGGCAGTAGCGGCCTGCGTGCTCGCTTCTGACCCCCCCCCCCGGCTCGCGCACCCCCCGCAGGCTGCGCACCGGAGGCCGCTCCGGCGAAAAAGGCCACTCCTGCGCGCAGCCGAGCCCTGCTGTTGGTGGCCCTCCCTGCGGAGGATCGCGGCGCCACGCGGTGCCCCAGGAAGGCCGTGGATCTGGAGAGGGTTCTGGACAGCGGGCGCCGCAGGACCGAGGCTGGGGAGGGGTCTGGAGAGGGGTCTGGAAGGCCCGCGATGATCCGAGCGTTCTTAAAGGGAAATTAGGACACACAAATAAATACACACAAATAAAAATAGTCCCCATATTTTCCCATATTTTCTGGGTTTTTGTCTTCCCCCCCACTGCCCATATTTTCCCATATTTTCTGGGGAATCGAGGATTAATTGTGTCTGTGTGTTTCTTCCCCTCCTGAGTTCTGGACAGCAGGCGCCGCAGGACCGAGGCTGTGAACGGATTGTCATGATAGGGGCTGCCCTCATGGGATGCGAGTGGACGGGGTCGGAGGATCGCGCCGCATCGCAGGTGCATCGGCGACGTCAGCGACGCATCGGCGACGCCAGCGTGGAGAAAGTCGGGCACCACATCGAGCCGCATTGCCGATGCATCGGCGATGCGGCTCGGTCCTCTGATGCCATGTACTCTGACCCCATCTAGGAGACCGAGGCATGATGCAGGCCAGGAAGAGGAGGGAGGGAGATTGACTTCTTGCCCTGTCTCCAATCCAGTCATCCAAGCACCCCCTACACAAAATAGCACCAGTGCCATGCAGGGTCAGGGCATTGGGGCCCTTTCAGTCACACGCTTCGCGCGGAGAAGGCTCCAGGGAGGCGACGCAAGCCGGGTGCGGCAGGAGTACGACAAGGAAGACCTGGCTGAGAACAGCGCAGAAGGTTACGGCTGAGAGCAGGCGAATGGGGCAGACATTTGAAGCCGCAGTGGCCGTGCCACTGCGCAACGGAGGGAGGAAAGCGTATGCCACGAAGCATGCCTCTAGGACATCCACGTGCGCCTTGCAGTGGCATCGTTCGTAGGAGCAGCCCCTCACGGCTTTCTCTGTTCTAGGCATCCTGGAGGCTCCTCATCGCCACGGCTCGAGCCGCCTCCAACAACGGGTCAGGGTGGACCCCAGGACGGTCCGGGCGGCAGAGGCGCCGCTGCCTGGACTGGACCTCCCCCCGCAGCGTGCTGGACGACTGGCAGTCCACACCGCGTCGACGAGGCGGACCAGGGCTCCCAACTTCGCGCTCCGCGCGGCGCGAAGCGCGAGGTGCGAATCGCTTCGCGCTCTCGCGCCGCCTCCCAGGGGAGAAGGGGAGCACGGGGAAGAATCGGAGCCGAACCTTGCCGTCGCTCGGACGTCCATTTTCCGTGTATTTTTCGGTGTCGTGCGTGGTCTTTCTGCTCGATGGTCCAGGATGGTCCAACAACTTCGCGCCCTCGAGGGCGCCCTTGTCGGATCGAATCAGCCGGTGCGTCGGGCAAGGGCGCACCGGCACGGAGGCGGAGCCGGGTCGGCATCGGCCGCGGCGGCCTGCGCAGTGCAGGCCGCCGCACCAGATCGTCGGACTCTCGGAACCGGACCGGGTCAAGACGGCCAGGGTCGATAGCTGATCGGAGAGATCGGATCGAGATGGACATTGGGGAGGTGGATAGTATGTGCACGGGGGAAGGGTCGAGGACTGATGGGGTCAGGAGGAGCGGCATCAGGTACAGGGGGGCAGGGTGGAGGGCAAGGAAGGGGAGAGAAGCGGGTAGAAAGGAAGGACGGAAATAGAAAGGGAGAGAGAAGGGAGGAGGAGGTTGTAGGAATGACAAGGGAAGGAGGCGACGAACGAGGGGACAGGAAACGGACCAGGGGGGGGATGAGCGAGGATGAAGAAGGAGAGAGCTGGGGAAGACCCGCAGTGCACGCTTCGATGTGAGCCGAAGTCTCACCAATTGTGCCCCTCCTCCTCCTCCTCCTCCTCCTCCTCCGTGCCCTCCTCCTCCTCCTCTCCTTCCTCCTCCTCCTCCTCCTCCTCCTCCCTCCTCCTCCCTCCTCCTCCTCCTCCTCCTCCTCCCCTCCTCCTCTCCTCCTCCTCCTCCTCCCTCCTCCTCCCTCCTCCTCCCTCCTCCTCCTCCTCCTCCTCCTCCTCCTCCTCCTCCTCCTCCTCCTCCGTGCCCTTGGGGTGCTAAAGCCCCAGACGTGCCCCCGGTGGCGCGCGGGCAGAGGGCGCGAAGACCCTTTTCGGAGTCCCACTTCTGCACGCGGCCCTCGCGCCTTTGCGGTGCGGAGGGCGGCCCCCGACCGCCCCGGCGCCCCGCAAGGGGGGAAGGAGGGGAGGGGGAGGAGGACAAGCTAGGTGCGCTCGCGTCATATCTGACGTGCTACCCCACCCTCCCATCCCTTACCATGGCGCTGATTTTCTCTATCCGCGGACGCGTGTCGTAGCGGACCTGTGGCTCCGCGCGCGCGTGCGTAGTGGGTGGTGGTGCGCGTGCGTGCGTGCGTGCGTGTGTGCGTGGCGTGGTGGTGGTGGTGGTTGGTGGTGGTGTGGTGCGTGGTGATGGTGGTGGTGGTGGTGCTGGTGGTGGTGGTGGTGGTGCTGGTGGTGTGTGGTACTGGTGCTGGTGCTGGTGGTGGTGGTGGTGGTGGTGGTGGTGGTGGTGGTGGCGGTGCGGCGCGGTGGTGGCGGGCGGATGGGCGCGCGAGAAAAAGGCCCGCGCTGGGGCGAGAACGCCATCCTGAACGACGGAGGCCAAACACCGATCCGAAAATGAGGCCCACGCTGCAGCGGGAGCACGATTCGGAACGATTCGGGAGCAGAAATGAGGCCGGCGCCTCAACGAGAGCAGCATTTTGGGAAAAAATGACGCCGGCGCCTCAGCGAGAGTCGTTTCCCGGGCTTTTCCGGGAATCCTGTGTAAAAAAACAGTACGCGGAGGGTGCGCGGCCATCCCCCGGACGCCATCAGGGGAAGAGGGAGAGTATTTTCATATTGAGTAATTGCAGAAGAGGGTGGTGGAGGAGGGCGCTGGAAAGAAACGAGGCTGGGGGCAGAAGCTGGCGGAGCTGGAGCACCTCGTGCTCCCTCCCTCGTCGTCCGTGCCCTCCTGACCCCGGCGCGGCGCACCGCCCTCGCGGGTCGGCCCCGTCGAGGCCGGCAGGGGCACGGGCGAAAATGGAGGGGCCCTGGGGCACACAAGTATATACACACAAGCAAGTGGATTCCCCAAACTGTTCAATGTTTTCGGGGTTTTTATCGCCCCCCCCACTTCCCGTACCACTTCCCATAGTTTCCTATGTTTTCTGGGGGATCGATGATTAATTGTGTCTGTGCGTTTTTTCCCTACTGCAAAAAATCACCGCAGATGGCCATCATTACGAGGACGCATCGAACAACGAGGATAACGAACGCAGAGGCGGGGCTGCACAGGAAAATCCCACCAGGAAATGAATTGCACGGCGCCGCCCGCGGCATGCAATGCGACACGGCCGGACCACACTGAATACGCGCATGCGTTGTAAGTGCTCTTACACGCTACTGTGTTCATAAATCCGCTGTCCTGCTCCCCGCACGCGCGATGGAAGCATGACGATGCCAAGGAAGGACGCCGGACGGGGGAATTTGAAGGCGCCGTCTGGTCACCAGACGCATCAATCCATTGCCCCGTCTACAACCACGACGGATATCCCCGTTGCCGAGCTCTGTGGGCACCCGCGCACCCATTCGGCTGCAGGCGGGCCCGGATCCAAGCACCGGCGACGAATTTACGAGACTCCGGGGCTGGAGTTCAGGGACGACAGGAGGGCGCAGCAAAGGCTGGAAGATGGCAAAGGTGGAACAATGAGGAAAGACAAACGGGAGAGGTGCACCAAGGAGGATGAGGAAGATGACGACAATGCAAAAGAACGGAGGGGCGACGAAGAGGAATGGAGGACGGTGGCGACGACGAAGGTGCGAAGCCGAATTGACGAACCAGGTCGGAGAAAAAAAAAAATGGCATGGGCTAGGAGGCGGGAAACGGGGAGCGAGGATGAGGGCAAGAGGCGGGAAGGGGGACGTGGATGGAGCGGGAGGAAACTTGAGAAATTGATGCGAAAGGTAAATCTGAAAACGGACTTCCCGGAGGACGGAATGACAGCGGCGAGCGCGATAATAAAGCGAGAATAAAGCGGGCGCGGTGCACGGATCTGGCCATGGGCCAGCACAGCGACGGGCCAAGGCTAGGAATGGATGAAACAGGTACTGTTCGTACCTGCTTGTCAAGCTGGTCCGTCGTGCCCTCGTTGGCCCCCATGCGCATACGCGCAAGGACGCACGGTGTGAGATTCACCTGGGGTGCTCTGCTGACCACGCCCCAGTACAGGACAGCTACAATACCACTACTATGTCATAAACAATTGCCGCACGCGCTACTGAGAGGGCTCTGCGAGGGGGCATTAGTGGTGGAGCACAACGAAATGGCTGCTGCCGCTCAACTAACAGCCAGATGGACCAACACTCACTTGCGTGCTCGACTACCCCATTACTCTCGCCATTTACGCCCGCAACTTGATGATGCGGAGGTCGACCGTGTAACAGAGTCACAAGAATCGCCTCCTAATTGTGCTGGGAGCTCGGGGCGGCTTCTACCGCTCCTCGTCGCTAGACCAGACCGCGTCATGGCCGTGGCTGATCTGGTCGTCCATCGCGCTGAGGATGAGCCCCCGGCCCACGCTGCCTCCGGTGACGGGGTCGGCCCGACTGTCCCGGTTGTCGCGCCTGGCCGCGCCCTTGATTCGCTCGGCGCGGAGCTGGTCAGCCAGGCGCCACAGGTGACCCGCCATGCCTTTCTCGAAAAGTGTCCGCGCTGCACCCACGAGCAGGGCGCCGAAGACGCGCGCGCCGTCGAAGGCGAAATCAGCCGGGATCGCGTCGTCCCAAGCCCCCCTTCAGCTCCCTGATCTCCTCGGCGGAGGCGGGGCCGCGCGCCGTCTCGCGCGGCGCGAGGAAGCGCGCCTGCAGACCGTCAGCTGCGCCACATGCTGCGGGCAGCTCGGAGCTGAAAGAGGATCTGCACACCAGCTTGTGCGATCGGCTAACTGCGCCCAACAAGTGGCGCGCTTGTCTGCTGGCGCGGCGGCGCTGCCGACGCATGTGCGCGGCTCCTCTCCTGCCGCGTCCTGCCTGCCCCCCCCCCCCCCCTCGCCAACGACCCGTCGCCGCGCGCGCAGAGTCGCCCGGCAAACTCCATCGCCGGAACTGCGATGCGTGCCTTGATCCCGCATTGCCCGAATGAATCATGCGAGCTGCGTCTCGCGATGGATGAGCAACGCATCTCTGCAACGCGCGTGGCGACGCGGTGCAGGGTGAGCAAGGCGTAGGCCGCTGCTCCCAAAAAAGAGAACATAGTCTGGAAGCTGACCTGTGGCCGGCCAGTCGGCCTTGGCCTTGGCCAGGTCGAGAAGTCCGACCGGAATCATCGCGTTGATGTGATCGTCTTGGTCAAGCGCCACGGTTCCATCGGCGCTGCGGTGCGGGTGCACTCCGCCGTTGGCGAAGTCGTCGTAATCGACCTTCACCCCACCGAAGACGCCCTCGATGCGGCCGACGAGCCGGTTGACGAACTCCTCGCGTCCAGAGATCTTCAGATCGTCAACGTGCTTGGACAATGTAAGTACAAGCTCGGAGCCGCTGGCACCGCGGGCGCGAGGCGCCTCGTGCTTGACCTCGATCCCTGGGCCCCACCTCGCGGGCTTGGTGCCGCACTCCCGTGGGCGAGCGACCCGGGTGAGCTTCGTGGAGAGGGTTCGGGGGGCACCCTTGCAGCCCGCGCCCGGCTTGCTCAGCGCGGCGCACCCACTCGTCGCGCTCGCCAAAGCTGTCGCAGCCGGGCACCTGCATGAGGATGGCTGCGCTGCCGGGCGGCGCGGCGCTCACCCCGCGGGGTGCTTCGCCATGTTCCTGCATACTGGCGTAGGCCATGCCTCGCAGGAGCGCCCTCTCGGCGCCCGCGGCGACGCGCATCGCGTCTGGGCGGCGCGCCGCCGCTGACGACATCGCGCGCTGCGACGCCCGCTTCGCCGCCCCAACGAGCGTCTCCAGGGCTCCGGCGCCCGCGTCGCCGAAGGCCCTCAGCGCCGCGTGGCGCCGGATGATCCTGACGGTCTGGCAGTGTGATCCCTTCCGGTGCTTCCACTTGGAAACGTGTCCGGGGTCCATTGCGTCCAAGGCGCCCTTGAGCGGTCGCCTCTCGAAGAATGCGCGCATGGCTCAGATGGTGAGCTCTTCGGGGACGGCCGCTGCGACCTTCCACAACCTCGACGCATCCGGGTCGGTCAGACGGTCGGCGTCGCGCATAGCGACCGCGGTCCTGGCGGTGGCAAAGATGTGAAGCGCGGCGGTCCGCGGAGCGCTGGCGACGCAGTCGCCGGGTGCCTCCTCTTCGAGCCTCAGAACTCATGGGCGCGCAGCTGGATCAAGAAACAACTCCGCATGCATTACTTTCCTTCGCCCTCCTCCTCTTCTATCGTGGCGCACTCGTACAAAGAGGCCCCGCGGATGCGCTGCGCTGCGCGCGGATGCGCTGGCGCGGATGCTGCGTTTCGAGGTGTCGGGGCAACTCGCGGGGCCTGCGGCCTGGGCCAGCTGCGGCGTGCTCGACAACAACACTGATATAATATTACGCTGGCTGTCGGTGCTCTTCAGTTTCTCGAACTCCTGTCGCAAGTCTTCTGCCCCCTCGACCTCGCGCAAGGCTGCCAGCGTCATCTGTTGGATGTTGCCGGAGACATCGCTGCAGGTCTGCTCGGGCATGGCCGACAGGGCGGATGGTGACCCACCCTCGGCGTCGCTGGCGGTATCCTCGGGGGCGTCGATAATACAGCAATCGAACGCTCCGTCTGGGCCTTGTCCGGCGCTTGCCGCCAGCGACGGCTCCTCGCGCTGAATATAAACTCAATGTCGCATGCTATCTTCCAGTGCTCGCCGGCGATCTGATGGGCGTCGACGCTGACGCCATCGAGGTTTCCTGAGGACGCCACCAAAAAGCCAAGCGGCGGGCGCAGCCCGGCCAATGCCCCGCAGATTTCTGGCCGCGCATTAGACATTCGGCACGAAAGTCTGGCAGCTGAAAGCATCGTCGGGGCAGATGGCGCAAATCTTCGAGGGGCGCTGTCGGGCCCGCGCGGTGATCCACACGCCCCTCGCGCCCCCCCGCTGGCCGAATGTCCCAGCCCTGGAGCCTGGGCGACGCGTTCCAGGAAATCCTCCGCGCGGTCCCAGGCCAGGCCTGCTC